CTATCGCGAACGATAGTGGGGAACGGCGTGGCTGAGCTATTGGCGGTCGAGTGGGCCGGCCTACCCCTTCCACCCGCCAATAGCCCCGCCCAATCCCCTCCACCGTTCGTGCACCTCCTCCAGACATCACATCGGTCGTTCGGTAGCTCTTAGTTTCAGGTTAGGAGCCTGCTAGGACGGGTCTCGTACACTCTTCCTGAGATCAAGCCGAGGCCGAGGCGAGGGAAAAGAGCGGCGACAGTGAAGTGTGACCGCGTGCAGTGCCGTGCCAGTCGGTTTTTAACCGCGCTGAAAGTGTGGGTGGTGGATAATGCCGTCGCGTGAACCACGGGCAATACGAGGTGCGGTCTGACACGCCGAGATTCGAACGCCTGGTGGGCTTGTGACCCGGGACCGCTCGTCGATGACTCTGGTGAACACGAGCGGGACATTGTGCGATTACGTGTGACCGTGGGACCAGTGTGTGGTGCGACAGGTCCAGTGTGTTCCGGGACAGTGTCCGGGACTAAGGAACAGGAAGAGACGGTAGCGACGGGCCCGCCGGCCGAGGCGTGCGCCCCAGGAGGCGTCGGCGGCGCCGGCAAACGAAGGGGAACTGTTTTGGGCCCGGCGGAGAAGCTCGAAGCCGTCAAAGTGGCTTCGTCACTGGGCCTCCAGGGGCCATCAGCGCCGATCGGGGCCCAACTACTGGCTACTGGTGGTTCGGAGGATGCACCGGCCGTGTACCACGCGAATCTGCTAGCCAGCGGCAACGCATCCGTGCTCCAGCAGCCCGTTCTAGCGAGCCTGAACACGCCGGCACTGGCCAGCATGCAGGCCTCTGCGGAGGCCAATTCGCTGGACATTCAGGCCATGCAATCCATGGACTGGCTGTTCAAGAAGGAGCGCATATACCTGCTCGCCCAGTTCTGGCAACAGGTAAGTGGTCCAACCGACAATGTGCTTCGTTCCGTGATACTCAGTGTCCTACCCGAAACTCGCGACCCTGCACCCTCGAGAGTCCACTGAACGTGTCAACGGCAGGGACCGTTCTCGGCCGACACGGATATCCCGGCACCGTGGACACTTGTAGCTTGCGGAGATTAGTGCTGTGCGGAGCAAAGATACGTGACTGTGGGCTCAAGTGAATCGGGAGTTAGGAAGGATTCCGTGAAACGCAATCAAGTGTAAAAGAAGGATACCGGCACGCCTGCGATCGGTAACCGAGGAAGGGCTCGATCGTGATATGTGCACATGATTAATGTAACATGTCTAGGGTTTGAACGAGTGATCCATTTGTCGCGATCCCGGTGCCGGTCGGGCGAGGTTCCGTGAGTCTTTTGGTCGGTAATTGCTGGTCAGGTTCCCGGCCACTTGGCCGACCCCGAGTTTCAACGAGGGTGCGAGGGTGGCGAAATTTCCCCGACACTTGCTGTTTGGAGGATAGTTCAACGATTTAGGGGATAGCTCGACCGACTTGCGGCGAAGTGGCCTATATACAGTGGTTGACAACCATTTTCGGCAGTGGTCGTGAAGAATCTTTTCTTCGTGGAAATTTGTGTTTCATCCTAGAGAAAAATGGACGGTAGTTTCTCGATACGAACGAGTTGTGACGATTTTCGAGTCTTCGTTCTATTCCGAGGTGCGGTAAAGTTAGTGGGTAGTAGATGCGATTGATTTGTGATGTTTATTGAAAATCGATTAAGTTTGACAGAGACTTAACGGTCGTACTTGACGGGCAATTGATTAGGTGGCTTCGTTGAAGTTTGAATATCCGAGGAGAGTTGTGAAAAATACAAATTTTGCTGAGCGAAAACGACAAAAGTATCGCGCGGAGAAGTGTTTCGTAAGCGCGGAGATTTCAAAGAAACCGTGAGAAACGAAACTTGAAGCTTCTCGCAATCTTACGTACACTTTCGACCAGCATAGCTCCGTACTTTTCACCAGTGAACGTTCTTTGCGCGAGAAACGCCGACACAACCAGCGAAACCATAATTACAAGACAATTTTTTCGAACATCGTGAAAGGTGAAATCGATAGGCAATTCAACATTTCTTAGTAACCGGTCGTAAATCTAACGTCGTACAATCTAAAACCATCAAAAAAATGTCATCGTTTCCTTATTCAATCCATTCAGGAAGCAAACTAATCGATTCTGCTTACCATTACAAACATCGAAGGAAGTTTACTTTCAACAATTCGTCATGAAGTATCTGTTCCATTAATCGAAAGAAAAGTTCCAAATATCATCAATTCGTTCGATGTACAAATCGAGTTCGCGTCAATAGAGAAGTATCAAGTGTCGCTTGATGACGGCGAATCGAATTCTCAGAAACGCCGACAAACAATTCCCGCGGGTCGCAAAATGATGCAGTTCCCTCGCCTTGACAGCGCACGTAAAACACTGTAGGGTCTTCCGGTGCAGGGCGCACGGTCGTTTCGCTCGGCTAGATGTTTTTGATAAAATACGGCCGCTTAATAACGCGCGAACTGCTCCCGCACCGATACGAGATTACGACCTGACCGGGGTCGGGGACTATTAATACCGCATAGTTTCATAATTATGTCTATTGATTAGGGCAGGGGTTAATGACGCCGGAACGACGTGGTAGGAGGCTCCGGTAGACCGAAGGTTTCCGCGGCTAATTTCCGTCGTTCCACGTGCACGCCGGATTTCGGCGCGCGATGGCCCAGGATCGCCGGCGAATTTCTCTATTATCGTCCGATGCGTTTCGTCGCGTCCCCTTTGTCGACTTAATTCGCTTGGACGTAATCGCGGCAGACGCGCCACAGAAAGGTTGTGCAGCGAAAAGGATCGATGAAGCGGTATAACCCGCTGACACGTTTCTGAGGAAAGTGAAAACGCCAAAAGTCGAGCCGCGCCACCCTACGCCACGCCGTTCGTGATTAAACAGTCGGGCAATGTCTTGGCATTTTCGGCTGGCCGTTCGGGAACAGATCGCTAGGTTCTTTATTCAAGGCGTGCGTACGCGAGGATACGCTCGAAAAGTCAGGCAGGATGTGGAGTACTCGATACTTGCACGGGGACGCGGGTTTCAGGCAGAAATTCACTCGCTTTAGTTTCACGGTGACTGACAGGTCTTTTCGTTTTCATACATCGAACGACAGAAGTATTGTTATTTCGGTATCGTCTATTTCGTTTTATTATTATTGGCTCTCGTTGTTTGCTCGACTATGTTCTAACAGGAAAATCGGGAGCGCGTATAATTTGGTAACGGGAGTCGACAGATCTATGAATCACCGCGATCGTTCTACTTTAGTGGCGTTATAAGTGTTTCGTCGTGGAAGGAAGCAATTTGTGAAGTTTAGACGATGTGATAACGATTAAGTGTTAAAACGTAGATAAGATGTAGAATACGTTACAACGAAAATGTCACTACTGGTTTGGAGTCCGAGCAATAAAGGGTGACGCGAGTGTCGGCATTATCGTTTTCAGTTTTTTCATGACGATCGCAGACATTTTCTATCCCATGGAATGAAATTATTCTCTGGTTCTTTTGTCGGATGTCGTAGTCTATAAAATCCATTAATATCGTCCGTTAATACCATCATCGTTGTTACCAAGAAATCGACATTTAGCATTCGCAGCAACATAACGAGAAAAAGTGGCGTAAAAATCGCGAAGTAATTAATCTTCGGTCGTTCAGTTATTAATCACTGTTTAAAATAACGTTGCATCTGCTCACGATAATTTATAGCCAATAATAGAGCCCCTGTAGCTCGTTAAAATTCAATTCGCCGGTAGTCCTGTACTCTTTGATCCCTTCAATTCCTTCGATCGATCGTTCAACGAATAAGGACACGTACTTCGCGAAGTTCGACGCCGTTTCGTCCGCGACCGAACATCAGGAAAACATGGAAGTTCGAAAACAGGTGCACGGTCGATGAACGACAATTCCGGGATCGATGAGCTCGTTAAAGAATTCCTGATCGGTCGCGCGTCAATCGCGCAGAAATATACCCGTCGCCGGGGATTGAGTTACGGGATGAAAGTCGAGGTTACGGACGTTCTTCGATTTTTTAGAAAGTCCTGGCCGAATCGCTGGAAATCCCCGGTAAATCGGACAATGATCGCTACATAACCTCCGAGTACCAAAATCGACTTGAAATCACGTTAAACTTATATATAGATCGATAATCAGCTGAAAACTCTCATGGCGTTTCATCTGAAAATTCAGACGATCGTGTCAAGCACGCGAAGTAAGAGAAACGTTAAGACCAAGAATTCATTTCCGTGGGAAAATCTGTTCGGCATTCGGAAGGATCAAAAGGAGAGGAAAGGTATACATCGCGGCGAGTCGTGATTAAAGTTTTCTGCTTCATTGAAAGGAATAATTTGAATCCCAGGCAAGCTTTGCGAGTGTCGGTGAACAGATACATCAGGTTGCGTCGATACTCGTGCGGTATCGGTCGGGGGCAACAGTGGTGACAGATCCTTCGGAAAATTCGTGGAGAGACGCGTCCGGTTGCGTTTTCGCGGAGCAGCCGTGCGCACGGAACGAGACCACGAAGCGTACTCCCAATTAGGAGCGTGTCGACCGTGAATGGACAAAAGTTTTGCCATGACTCGCTTTCCCCTCCTGCTCCCGATACCGTGTCCCCTCGGTCCCCTCCAGGAGCTTGCCCCGACAGCCAGTAGGGGAATCCCTGACGCGGTTCCCGAGATCCCCGTGCGGCGGCGACACTTGCCGAGACGCGTTCACCAACGCGGAGACGTGAGTCACGCGCGTTCTGACACCGATGAGAAGAGCTGTCGCGTGGACACTGGCTCTGTAGGCGATAGGCCATTTAGTTTAGAGCTACGGAGATGGGCGAATTTATTATCCCTTTCAGCCGATGCGATAGAGACAGGTTCGATGATTGGTATTCGTCGACCGGGCAAGAATTTCTTCCCGCGAGACGCAGGAGGGAAGTTGATGATTGTGTGGATTTTAGGGTACATAAATGATCTCTGTATGTCACTGTGTTCTCATGAAATAGTCTCGTTTCTGTTATGGTTGAAGAATTGTGGAAAGATCGAGTATAAACGTATTCCGATTGAAAAAAACAAAATAGCATGAGGTTTTTCAAATTCTGCTAGGAAAAACTGAACAAGTCAGAATGATAGATTCATTTACTAGATAGGTATTGTGTATAGATGGGAAGGATAAGAACTAGTAATGAATTTAATTTTCTTTGTAGTTATAAAAGCAACATTGTATAATTTGGTTAATTATTATTGAACTATGTTCTGCAGTTTGTACTAAATTTTAGTTTGATATAGTACAGACATTGTCAAGAACAATACTATTGTATGTATGAATTAATAACGAAAGAGAATGTCTTTCAAGACTCAAACGCTTATCTTAGTTCGAACACATAACTTTTCGAAAACAAAATGATAATTGCAGGTTGAAAATCTTGGAAGCAGTTATGGAAAGTATATGTTTCTGGAAATTATAGGTTGTAATTGAAAAAAAAAGTAAAATCTATAAATCTAGAGCGATCATAAAGTATTGAAAAATCAAGTCTTTTAATATTGTTGCTACACAGGTTAATTTTTGCATAAGCAATTACTGTAACTCTAAAGAATTTTCCTGTTTAAAGAATTCCAATGGCGTTCGACACTCGTTACATAGTTGGCAATGCCTTTTAATAAGGAATCGTGGGGCGAACAGCAAATATACACGCGACTCGGTGCACCTGCGCTCGATTCTAGTCACCACCTAAGCGGTCACATTGCCTGCCGGCAGCTCGTAAAGCGGGTGAACCCCGGAGGTCTAGACCAGCCCTGGACTAGACCAACGAGACGACGCATCCGAAATAAGCCTCTATATTCTATTTCGAGGCCGACACGCCGCGCGATACAGTTTCTCGTGTCAGTAGAATACGGCAATGATCCCGTCGTTGGCCCGTTTTCACGTTCACGACAATTACCT